ATTAAATAGTAAATAATGTATTTATTATTGTATATATTGTGACTCTGGCTAATAGAAAGTATGTTTTAAGCAAACAAGCCAGCATTATTAAACTATTAAGAGCAAGTTGTGTGGCTATCTAATATAATCAACAATGAACAAATGGATTTAGTATGAGAATCAACAGGATTCATCAAAAACGAACAAATATTCATTGTGTCTGGCTGAACTGGGTATATTATTCACAATAATATGAAGCAGTGCTGAAAAAAAGAAACAAGGCCATTAAAAAGTCAAAGAACTTGAGTAACTGACAAAGGAATTTGTGAGTAAAACCTAAAAAGTTTCCATCTTCATTAGACATGGCACACTCATCCCTGACTCATCACTGTTCGAAGTCTCTTGACATCTAACTGATTCTTTGTTTACGAATGAAATCGCCAATTTGGCTCATTAAAGGGACATTTTAATGACTTTGGCTAGTAGAGAGATCTGAAAATGTGTTTCATGTGTTGTTTAGTCCCCACACACAGTGTGAGCTTCAATTTTTAAAAAAATGTTAATAAAAATCAGCTTTCAGAGCAAAGAAAACAGAAATAGGCATAAAAATTAAAGGAGAAATTATGTGGAACGCGCAGATTCCAAACTTTCAATCCATTCCACATTAGTGTTTGTGAGCTTGTGAGTTTGTCTGGAGATATTTTATTATGATTTTAAATGTTTTTGTCACTTTTTTTGACATGCGAACTCAAACCTGTACACTCAGAATGTAAATCATACATAACTGTAATTCTAAAGACAATCTAACATTTTGAGAGCAGAATCTATTAGTCTGTCAGTGCCACATTAGCAGGGCTGAAAGATTAATCATCTAAAATCGCAATTTAAACGAGCAAAATTTTAGTTATAGCCTCATTTTTTTTACCTAGCAACGCTGAGCTCGTAAACTGCCTGTGGATGAGTTAGACCAATCAGAAGCAACCAAACACTCACGTGATAAGTACTAACACTGCATCCAAAACTAACTGGTTGTCTGAAGCCACAAAAAAATTGGATATGTTAGTCTTTATGGCTTAAAAACCAGATCTGGACCTAAATTTATAGAAAATAGTCACAGCCATGGTATATCTACCTCAAATCCATGACATAATACATTAACAACTTATTCATGACTAAACCATTAGAGACATTTATATTTAATGGCTTAGCTATAGAGCTCTATAATGCTCTATAATGCTCATATGAAACTGTTAGAGAAGGTTTAGTCATAAAGACACTTTATCTTCCTTGTAAAAGTGGAGTATCAGTGCTTTCCAGTCATATTAATTAATTCTCTGTGTGACTCTTCCTCCCTGTGATATAATACATCCACTCCAAGGAACAATGCAGCCTTACAAGGAGACAATTGCAGAGCGAGTAAACCAGGCCTGATTTGACACAATAGGGAACGTGCTGAGTCTAGAGATTTATTACAGACACAAGTCCTGTGCATGTAACAAATCACCTGATCCATCTCACACGAAGGCCTTTACAACACTGAGATTATGATCATAACCTCGCAGTTACAAGAGCTGCAGAGCTGCAATAATTACCTGATGCTCATTAGTCACTAATGATGTCATATGGAAAAAAGTGTTGATGTGTTTACTTAAAAATACACTGTAATGTTCATATGATCCACACAGTCATTCCGACAGACTGTAATACACTACAGGAAGTGTAGGGGGCGATATGGTTTCTACTGTTTCATTTAAAAAGCCTCAATAATGTTCATATGATCCACACAGTCATTCTGACAGACTGTAATACACTACAGGAAGTGTAGGGGGCGATATGGCTTCTACTGTTTCATTTAAAAAGCCTCTATAATGTTCATATGATCCACACAGTCATTCTGACAGACTGTAATACACTACAGGAAGTGTAGGGGGCGATATGGCTTCTACTGTTTCATTTAAAAAGCCTCTATAATGTTCATATGATCCACACAGTCATTCTGACAGACTGTAATACACTACAGGAAGTGTAGGGGGCGATATGGTTTCTACTGTTTCATTTAAAAGCCTCTATAACGTTCATATGATCCACACAGTCACTCTGACAGACTGTAATACACTACAGGGAGAGTAGGGGGCGATATGGCTTCTACTGTTTCATTTAAAAAGCTCTATAATGTTCATATGATCCACACAGTCATTCTGACAGACTGTAATACACTACAGGAAGAGTAGGGGGCAATATGGTTTGTATAGGTTTTGGTCCACCATAAAAGTCGATGATGGGACAAAGTGAAGACCGCTGAAGGCATAATGGTTCGAGTGGTCGATTAATCAAATAATATTCAATTAATTAGAGGTGCCCTTTTGTTTTTTTGTCTTACGGGGGTCAAAGTGCAATACTTGTGGTGGACCGAGGGCCAAAAAGACAAAACACCAAGCTATTAGTTCGTCAGCCTTATGTTTTCAACCAATATGTTTATATGAATATCGTCACTGTCCAAAAAACAACAAAAAAACCCAAATATCTCAATTATTTTCATGTTTTTTATTTTTCCACATGGAAATTTGAATGAAGGTGGTGTTGTGATGAGGCAAACTAACAGCCATAATGGTTTGCTTGGTCAATTAATCTAATAATGTTTGATATATCAACCAATTATATAAATAGTTTATAGTTGCAGCCCTGCTGTCTCTGCTAATGTAACTTAGCAGAAAGCATTGAGTTATTTGAGGCAGTGAACCCAGGCCTCCGGTCGTGGGACAGAGACAGATAAACTCCCGCCAGCTCCCCCAACCATACAGGACAAATTCCTCCCTTCTCCTTCTGTCAACGACTTAATAAAGCAACCGTGCCTGATATGAGGGCGTGCTAAAAGAGGAGGGACAGGGCAGGGCTAAATATCAGCATGGACTACAAAGCTGTGTTCTGATACAACACCCTCAGCTCAGAATCCAAACAGAACAGGAAAACACCCCCGAACACAAATGCACAAAAGTGCAGAGCCAGAACAACAAAAGACATCTTAGATGGATGGTTCTTTGGAGAACCATCTTTCATAATGAGACGTGTGAGTGAGAAGGACCTAATGAAAGTTTACAGAACCTGCCCTTTCTTAAGATCGTCTCAGAGAAATAAAGCAGATCTCAATATTATATTAATGAAGGATCACTGATTTCTGAATCGTTTCTCCCGAACCCCCTTAGAAGAAAAGATGAGATTAACACCAGCATTTCACTGTGAGACGTTCTGGTGAGAAAAACATGAGTTCTCCTTTTGCACTTACAAATGATGATGAGATCTCACACTTTTCTTATGGAGATATTACTCTGAGGCTGGGCTGAGACGAGTCAGACACTAAAGAGTTGAGCCACATGTGTGACAACATTTTGATCAAAGTGAGAAAATCTGAGTTTTATTTCTCAGGAGACAAATTTCAGAAACAGGAGAAAATGGCTAATGTCTCACTCTGATCTCAAACTGGACTTAACTGTGTCTAAGAGAAGCACCTGAGATCCAGAGGAGATCTCAATTAGATTAAAAGCTTTCTAGGATGAACCCTTAAATTGGTACAGAACCTACATGGGTTCTTTAAACCTTTAAAAAGGTCTTTACACTCACACATCTATTTTCCAGACATGGTTTTTCAGGGAACCAAAAAATGGTTCCTCTACGGCAGAGGTCACTAATAGGCGGACCGCGGTCCGAGTCCGGACCCAGATGCTGTCCTACACGGACCTGGACCTATAACCGATAAACTATGGAGAATTATTTAATTCCGATGGGGTGGTCCTATTTTAATCGGCGTAACTTTTCTAGCCTTTACGGGGCCACTTTAGTGGGCCGGGAGACTCACAGACCAATCGCATGCATTGTAAATATCACACGTGACGCTACTCAGCCAATCAGATCTGTGCATTACAATAAGTACTGAGACTCGAGTGAGTGACGCACACACAGGGGAGGGACGAGGCAAGAAACAGCAGTCAGAGAAGAAAGTGAGTCGGAGGGAAGTTATTTCACATGGTGTGATCTAAAAAGAGAAAACTGATAATAAATATTTTGAAATATGACTGAATTGTACTTTATTTGATTTGATATTCAGTTGCTGACTGTATAAGATGTTGATATACCTACTAGGCCACTTCAGTAAACAGTATATGGCACTGAATCATGATGTAAGTTAGACATTATGATGTTCCGAACCTTTGCTTGAGGATGTTTTCTCTAACTGGACCTTATTGAATTTTAATTACATACCCCTGCTCTATAGCATCATTTGAAGAACACCATTGTGAAGAGAAAGGAGGAAGAGCTTAATAACTTCATACCTCCAAAATATTACAATGTAATTTAGAGCTGCTTTAATTAAACACAAATTTTTGGTGGTAAAATTTGTTTTTTGTGATCCTCCAACCACCTTTAAATGGTGATGTTTATCAGGAGGTGGGGTCGTACAGCAGGCTGTGACAACAATCATTAACAAGACTCTTTTCTGTTATGAAATTCTTCACTCTCGGAAATACAGGCACTAAACTGTCACTGGGTCAGTCCCCCTCTTGTCACTGGGGTGGTTCCCTCAAGGGTCCATCTCAGTACGTTTAGTCAGGGAACATAACTGAACCATAATCCACTGAAATGATATGTTCTAAGCTGTACTGACTCCACACACCCCGTCTCGTCTCCAGGCTTTTATTTTACTGTTCTGTTTTAAAACATTCGGTTATGAAAAGGTACAAATACAAACTTTTCACCTGGAAAAACTTATTTAAGGTTCACAATCAGACCTTAAAACAACTGTTGTAGCTTTGAGGGAACATTTACACTGTTTGTACCTTGATGAACGAAGAACGTACCTGCACAGAACCTTTATTTGGTGCTTTAAAAGTTGGTGAGGAGCTTTTGGTAATGTTGTCCATATAATTTCACTAAAAATCATGCTTTCTAAAGTAACTGAGGGGTGGACTCTACGATCTAAACAACCCTTTAAATCAAACCCTGTGGTGATGAGAAGTCACACCTACCTCCAAGATGGCCGATCTTGTTGGTGATGGCATATCTGAGGATGCGTTCCTCTTTGACAAACATGACGAAGATGCGCTCCACGTTCAGCTGCAGCGTTTCGGCTCCACTGCGGTGGCCGTGTCTACAGTCCCTGTAGGTGATGTTCTGTCTGAGCTGATAGTTGAAGGTCTCTGCGCCGCTCTCAGCAGACACGACTGTGTACTCCCGCACTGAGCTGGAGGTGATCACTGCAGACAGAGAGGTTTTATCACAGTTAAGGGTGTAGTTGTGGTTGCAGAAGTCGGGGGAGGACACTACAGAGTCGGAGCTAACTTCAGCTAACTTTAGCTACAGGGGCTAGCTTATAACAAGCCTTCCAAGAAAGACCAGCATGAACAAGAATGGAACTGCAAAAAATAGTATTTTGTCAAGTGAAAAGATATTGAATCTAGTCGATCTATCTAATAATAATATAATATTATTATATCTAATATAATATTTCTTATTTTGAGATGGTTGTGCACTTATTATAAGAGTGTCTAGCTTATTTCTACACACGTTTTACTTGTTTTAGATAATTTTATCAATTAAAATTATCTCACTATGCTTGGCAGATACTTTGGCTAGTTTGGAGCACATTTCTTACAACAAGCAAAAGTATCTGCCAATATAATGAGATAATTTTATTTAATAAAATCACTTAAAACAAGTTTAAAAATGCAAATAAGTTTAAAGCTTACAACAATCTCAACAGGAGAAATATTCGATTTATAGAAAAGATTTAAGATAATTTTACTTGACAAGATACCAATTTTTGCAGTGTGGTCAGCAAAACCAGCATTTGTTGTTGGATTGGTTTTGGATTCTGTGATGTTGATCAACAAGCCTGATCACACTGGGTGAGCAGTTAACCCAGCACAAGACCAGCACAAACCAACATAAACCAGCTTAAACCAGCATGGAATTCATGCTGGCCTGTGCTGCTTTTTTCAGCAGGGAGCATAAAATCTAACGCTAATGTTAGCACCTGGTAACGTTAGCTAACTAAGCAACCCCATTTCGTTATTTTTCTGGTTTAGTTAGCTTATAACTGTACCAACATGGGGGATTGTTTTCATTGCCAATCTTTCAGTCCACTCTTGGTCGCTTCTTTCCACAAGGCGACACCAACTGTGCATGTCTAATGCGAGTGCAGCTTAGGCTACGTTCACAGTACCAGGTTGAAGTGGCCCTAATGTGACCTAGATCTGATGTTTTCAGAGCTGTGTGGACACAAATCTGATCTTTTTAAATCCAACCTGAGCCACTTTCATATGTGGTCCTAGATCGGATACGTATCCGATTCGTGGCCATGCGACCTTAATGTGACGTCAGATCAGAATTCATGTGCTTTTTTCCACTGTGCGTGCGCCATCATTCAGTGTTACCACGGCAACAGCGCCGAACAGAAGTTAAAGCCTGTAAACGGTGGAAAAGCAGCTCATCTCACCTTTTTCTCCTTCGTCTCGCTCTAATAATGAAGCTGAGAGCTGATCAGAATTAATGATCTTCTCAGCGAAGCTCGTTCTGCTTGTTAGTTTGTGCTGATGATGAACGTGATTCATTCACGTGACGTTACTGAGTAGGGTGTGATCATGCGGGTCATTTCAGGACGCCGGTTCGTTCACACTAATGACCGATTTGAATCGCTTACCTAAACGAGTGTGAACCATCGTGTCAGAGAGATCGGATCTGAGCAAAAAATCGGATTTGAGAAATGAGGCTGGTAATGTGAACGTAGCCTTAATAGCATTGAGCTACTAATGGCGCGAGTCTTCTCCCAACATCGAGACCTTTGAAGGCGACTATAACGTAACCTTGGAGATGTGTGTGTCCCACTGATCTATACATCAGTGGTGTAACTGCACGTCAGATGCAATTTTATCAGTCAGCACACATATTTCTATCATCCAGATTACAACAGCAGCCTTATTGAAGCCTTAAAGGACCATGGATTCACGTTTTACTCAGTTTTCCTGTGATAATGAGTTATTTTTATTTGTTATCTCGAGATATTGAGTGATTTATATCATCAAGACACAACCAATGTTGTTTTCTCGGGATCTTGAAATATTTATTCCATTACCATGACGTGGCAAATGTTATCTCAATAAAACAATGTTCATTATGTGTTGATGATGACATAAATAACTTGATCTCAAGCCTTTATATCCAGCTTTGTTTCTGCTCTGAGCTATTTCAATACTTCACTTGAAACCCAGTCAAAAGAAAATAGTGATGGCTTCTCTGTCAGCAGTGAAGAAAGCAATTTTGAAATTTCGTGCAGAACCGAGCGTTCACTTAAGATTGCTCTGTTTTATGGAAGTCATGGTGCTGAAGCGGCCACTGCCAGACTGAATCAAGCAAAGGCTGTTCCTGTGGTCATTTGGTCTGTGGCCATTGACTTTGTCTAAAGAGTTTGGGACAGGACCTTGTCTAGTTGAACTTATTTTAATCCACTGTGCGTCTTTGTCTATGTCTGTTTGTTCGCTGGATTGTTTATTTTTGTACTGAAAATGTTTAATAAAAATATTTTCACGAAAAAAAAACCCTGACCTCAAGAAAATAACATTCATTTGTCCTTGATCATGACACTAATGTCGCAAGATCTCAAGAAACAACATTCATTGTGTCGTGATAATGATAGAAATAACTTGATATTTCAAGAAAACACATGGAAACAACTCGTTATCACTGAAAAACTGAGTGAAGAAATGTGACTGCATGGCCCTTTGGGTCTTCTACAACTTACAGATTTGTGCACAACCTCTAAATCACTTTGAAATGATAACTAGATTCTGAAAAGTGGGCCTCCAGTGAAAGCCGCCCCATGATTACAGCACCCATAATTCATGAGCCTCTGAGCCAAAAAGCACTTCCTCTGTACGACCTCTGAGAACCTGGCTTGTAAGCAGGTCATGAAAAACGCAGGATCTGAGCATTAAGAGCATCCTCGAGCTGTACGTCACGGCATGAAAAACAGTCTGTGTTTGGGGTTCATCACAATCAGACGCGGCTTCCTCTTAAAGGAAGTTTGCGAGGGCTGTGCTTTTTATAGCTAACCCAGAGATCCCTGTGTCCAGAGACCAGCGGGGGAGGACCGGCGGCGCCGTTATTGCATTATACAGTTAGATAAGCACCACGTTACTTTTTATTTCTCATGCAAAAGCTTCACATAAAACAGGAGGTGCTAAAGACGAGGTGGCTCTGCTCATCTCTCAGTGTGTAAAGTGACACTTTGGGGAAAAATCAAATAAACAGTTTTTCCCTTCCCCCAAAATGCAGTCCATCAATCAAGATGTTTGCCTCTGAAGTCAAAGTTATTCAGAGTGGTTTGATGTGAAATGGTTAGTTTGTAGGAAAACAACCGACATAGATGTCTTTATAGTGGTGGTGATAGGAACCAGGGGTCACCATGACTGCAGCACAAATGCAGACATTTTATATGTTAAAATGACCAGTGGTCCTACACGTCATCTACGTTTTCATATATTACAAGTTACAAGTATATATATAAATAAATATATATACATACATACACACACACACACACACACACACACACACATATATATATATATATATATATATATATATATATATACATTCATATATATATGTATATCACTGTTGCTGGAAGAAAACCTTGTATCTCCAAAATGATAACTATATAGGAGAAGGAAAAAATCTTTACTTTTAATGTAAGTCAATGGAACCAGACTTTTTTCCAAGTCATTTTTGGCCATTTCTTTTAGTCCATTCATCATGAAATTTACACACAATGTAAAGGACAACAGCTACTTTTAAATTATGCCAAAAACTAAAAAACGACAAAAAATGGAGATACAAGGTTTTTTTCCGTCAGCAGTGATACACACACACACACACACACTACCGCTCAAAAGTTGAGAATCACTTGTCATAATAATAGTCGCTATTCAGTAATAACTCATACAGTGTCGACTGAAATGTAATAAACTAACACCGAAAACTTAAACCAGTGCTTTGTTCACGGTTTAAAATATAAAGTTACATGGTAAAAAAATGGAAGTGTTATTAAATAATAAACTATCATTTTCTGTTTATTGGAATTTTTTTCACAGAAATACTGCACGCAGCTGTTTAAGAAGCAAGATTTGGTTACCATTTTACAAATATGAGACATTCTAATTGTCAATTTCTTTATAATGTCATTCTCAGTGCTGTACAGATTTCACAATTAAATTATTTACAGCTCTATTTATCATCAAAAATATCTTATTTAAATATCGTTTTTACAGGTTCCTACAAACTGCTGGAAACTTGTAAGAAATTAGTGTAATAGTAGATTTTATATACGTATCTTCCAAAAAATTGGGTTTATATGAATAAAATCAGTGATTCCAAACTTTTGCACAGTGCATGCTTGTGTATATACACACACAGAGAGAGAGAGAGATATAGATAGATCTTAGCATTAAGAACACCTTTTGGTTCCAATGCATACAAGTGATATTGAGGAATGACAATAAAGACCACATGACTTAACTTGACGTAATGTTGATGATGGTAAAATAGTGCTAAATCTGAACTTGTCTTACAACACTCTGCATGTATCTAGAATGATTAAAACAATATGTTTTCTCAGAACTATCGTAAAATAAAACGAGTCAGGCATCAGGCAGCGTATTCATAACCATTTCACAAAATAGCTGTCTGTGAGAAATCTATTAAGGACATTAAACTCTTTGGATGTCTGGTTCCTATCGCCACCACTGTGAACAATTCTGACTGTATGTTTCTCTAGAACAGAGCATTTCACACCAAACCACGCTGTTAACATCTTACCACTTCGTAAATTTTGAAAGATTTGGTGGAATTCCCCTTTAACAACTCAACCACATCTGGGCTAAGGGGGAGAATTGTGCGAATTAGATTCGTTGCCAAGCTATTCTTTTAACAAGCTTCCCGAAGGATCCCGAAGGGATTTCATTTGAGGTCTTACGCGATGGGTAGTACTGGTAGGTCTCCTTAAACGGCTCCATCTGTACGGTGGCACCAGGGGGTATGAAGGGAACACTGCCCTCCAGATGAGTGTCCACATTCAGGTAGTTCTGGCCGTCTAGCCCCCTGCCAGTCTGGACGATGCTGAGCCGCTGGTTACCGGGATGAAAGGTCACATCGGCATGGCGAGTAAACTCAGCACCTGGGAGGGAGAGAACGAAAGGCTTAATATTGAACCTGACAGGCACTTTAGTCTCCTCTTGGCACGTTCTCCACATCTAAAAGCCATAAAACGTGCTCTCGTTTTACTACAGACAAATTTTTTATGCTGGGTAATCAGCCCCAGATGAGGGTTACGACCCTTGAAATGGTGTTTGATGAAAACCCGAGTGATTTCAGAGCTATTTATTTCATTTTTTCTTCACACAAAGTGAAAACACCTTGCCGTGCAGCACCACCTGACTTAAATTAAGTGTACGCTGGAGTGTACGTTGAATAGACCTTGAATATCAACGTGGAGAAAGCCCAGCTGTGAGGGTTCCTCTGAGTTTATATTAGTGAGAGAAAAACGGTCTGGACCCTTAAGTGAGTCCCAGCAGGAGGGCTCATGTTAAACAAACACACAGCACAATAAAACTGGCTGGGAAACAGCGCGGCGGCCTCACCGGTGATATTGAAGCCATTATGGCTGTTGGGGAGCTTCAGGGCGAACAGCCAGCCGAACAGGCCTCCGATGGGGGCCGCGGGCATCAAAGCCCACCCCAGTGGCTCTGGAACTTCACTGATGGCTGTGTAAGCTCGGCCATCGCCCACAACGATGTAGGCGTGGAGGTCAATGTTGTCCAGCCTCACTGCAGTCAGGCCCACACTGACCGTCCCACGGACCTTTCCGTTCACACGTTGAGGAGCACCTGAGAAAACAAAAGAAGAAACATCACAGATGTTAGGGAGTTTTGCTCATCTTTTCATTTGGAGCCTTTTTAGGAATTGTTTTATCAAATGTATTATTTTCTCCCCTAAAACAGTCAGTCAGCCAAGAGATTTGAATTCGGTGCCCAAACTTTGCTTCTGCCTATTCAGCACTGAAGCTTTGAGGATAATAAGTAATGGAAGCTAATGCTGCACCAGTTAGCATACACCGATCAGGCATTACATTCTGACCACCTTGTTTCTAAGCTCAGTGTCCATTTTATCAGCTCCACTTACTATATAGGTGCACTTTGTAGTTCTACAGTTACAGACTGTAGTCCATCTGTTTCTCTGATACTTTGTTAGCCCCCTTTTACCCTGTTCTTCAGTGGTCAGGACCCCCATGGACCCTCACAGAGCAGGTACTATTTGGGTGGTGGATCATTCTCAGCACTGCAGTAACACTGACGTGGTGGTGGTGGTGTGTTAGTGTGTGTCGTGCTGGTCTGAGTGGATCAGACACAGCAGTGCTGCTGGAGTTTTAAACACCTCAGTGTCACTGCTGGACTGAGAATAGTCCACCAACCAAACATATCCAGCCAACAGCGTCCTGTGGGCAGCGTCCTGTGACCACTGATGAAGGACTAGAGGATGACCAACACAAACTGTGCAGCAGCAGATGAGCTATCGTCTCTGACTTTACATCTACAAGGTGGACTGACGAGATAGGAGTGTCTAATAGAGTGGACAGTGAGTGGACACAGTGTTTAAAACACCAGCAGCACTGCTGTGTCTGATCCACTCAGACCAGCGCAACACACATTAACACACCACCACCACGTCAGTGTTACTGCAGTGCTGAGAATGATCCACCACCCAAATAATACCTGCTCTGTGAGGGTCCATGGGGGTCCTGACCACTGAAGAACAGGCTAAAAGGGGGCTAACAAAGTATGCAGAGAAACAGATGGACTACAGTCTGTAACTGTAGAACTACAAAGTGCACCTATATAGTAAGTGGAGCTGATAAAATGGACAATGAGCGGAGAAACAAGGAGGTGGTCATAATGTTATGCCCGATCGATGTACATGTAGGGAGTTACATGGCAAAATTGTCCCTAAACTCATTCACAACTGGTTGCAAAAGTTTTGGCACCCATCTAATTCGATGATTCTTGTGTCATTGTTTGCTATCCGGTGTGGACCAGAGGGGGATGGGTTTCCCTTCTGAGTCTTGGTTCCTCTCAAGGTTTCTTCCTCTTGCTTTTAGGTAGCGACGCTCACAGGGGGATTTGGACCCGGATTTTTCTGCAAAGCTGCTTTGCGAGAACAGCTGTTAAAAAGCACTATATAAATAAACTTTGACTTGACTTTTGAGTGAAAAGAAGTTAATACATCCTCTACAGAGAACACACCTCTGCACAATTGAATGCATAGTTACTGTTTATTTACTGGATTTTTACAAAGAATAATTTTAGGCCAAATTGAAACGCAATCACTACAACGGAAAAATGTGAAATGCAGTGGACACATGCAGAATACGTGCCAAAATGGAAATCAAAACCTCTGTTTTCATGTCGCTTACAATGTAAACCCCTTACATGGTCAAGTTTTATTACACTCCTGTAACTTAAGTACAGCTCAGCTAGTTTGCACTGAAGTCCCTGTAGTTACTGAATAGTAAGCCTTAGAACGTAATAAGCCTGTATTTTTAGGGTGTTAAATCAAAGTTATGGATCGATTGCTTTTCATTTTGAGATGTTTTCTGCATGTTAGTGTTGAAAAGCAATCTCATGCGTGCACTGCAGCTTACTGTTTTCAAAGAGGCAGATACATTTGAAGCACAAAAACACTGTATTAGGGGTTTTGCTTTGCATTATGTTGCATATTCCACAAGTCACTATGGAAAAGTAATGTAATGTATATTGTATTTCACTGTTTTCACTGTTATAATTGTATTTCAATAGGGGCAAATACGTTGAAAGTAGTGCATGGTAAAATTATAGCTGTGCCTTCATCACATTTGTGGATTTGTGTGAGTGTATTTTATTAAATTCTGACAAATTCAGCATTTCATTTTTGAAAAGCAAATCCTCATGTATTGTTTTTCAGCAAAGAGAACAATGTAACAGTGGGTTTGTTTCTCATTTTGGCTTGTATTCTGCATGTTATTATGGGAAAGTAAGGTCATGTGTGCACTGCACTTCACATTTTTCCACAATGATTTCATTTCAGTTTGCCACAAATATTTCCCCTAAGGGAGAATTTAACATACTGGGAAAAAACGCAAAAATTTTGCACTAAAATGTGCAGAAAAATGCCATATTTAAGTGTTGCTCTCTGTAGAGGAACTTATTTTCACTTAGAAAATCAACAAAACACGTCATTTGACCGGGGTGTTTGAACTTTCACATATGACTGTGTTCAGCCCCTGAACACCCTGAGATGACACTCAGAAACTGGACCCAAATGAAAGAGTGAGTTCAGCTTTGTTGAGCTCATGACTCTTCATTTGTCCAAGCATGGCCGCGTTCCAGCCAGAGAGACTGGCAGGATTGTGTTTGGTGACAGAACTGTGTTGTAGACGCTGCTGCTCTCCATATTCACCCCACTCGCTCACGCTCACAGCACACAAAGCTCTCACTGTACACTCACATACTCCACAGCTGAGGAGGATTTTCCCAACACGCTCACTCCTGCAGGACCGTCTGTCATCCAGCTCAGCCGCAACACAGAGAACAGGCACTTTCTGACTCAGGCTTGTTTTCAAACTTGGGCGTTTTGTGAGGATCTTTACGGGGAGATAAGCCTCTTAGAAGTGCAATATGATGTCATTGTTGTTTCCTGAGAGGTGCTGAGTGATTCAAAGGGATGTTTCAGCTTAGCTCTTAAAACAGAACGTTTCACCTCACATTAATCCTTTTGTTGCCATATGAAGGCTAAAGCAGAGAGCTAATAGCAGGTTTTACAGTGATCTGGCTGTGTGTTTGTGTTGTATTTCTGGGTTGTGGGATGTTAGAGCTGGTTTCTCTCACTCTGCCTAGTGAGGGCAGGTTCTGCTGAGTGTTCTGGTGTGTAAATCATGTCCCCATTTTTAACCCTGTGTTTATAATATGGAGGCTAAATGCAGAGATATAACAGCAGCGAGTGGGTTTTGGGTGATTTTGGGGCTGGACTGCTGGCTGATGGACGGTCACAGGTGGATGAAATTACTCTGGGTGGTGACGACAGAGTCTGATGATTGATCCGATGTGTGAATCATGTCACTGTTTTAACCCTTTGTTGGAATATGAAGGCAAAAAGCAGAGATTTATCAGGATTTTGGGTGGTTTTCCAAGCCGAATTACTCACTGATGCTGACGTCACAGTTTGATGATGTTGTGCTAGCTAGTTTGGGCCGGGTCCGCTGAGTGTTCCGATATGTGTATCATGTCTGTAGCTTAAACCGTTCTAAAGTTGGTTGGTTAAAGTGGGTTAAAGAGCCCATATACTACTTTTTTCCCTGCTTATAATATTTGTGTGGTTTTTTTGTTTGGGTCGTAATTCTTTTTTACATGACCATTTTCCAACCTCTCTTTATCCCTTAGAATTGAACAGGCTGTTTTTGCTACCGTGCCTTTAAGACTGATATATGTAAATAAGCTCTCTTCTGATTGGCTTGCCCTGTGTTGTTTTTAATTCAAAAAGCAGTCTGGGCTGAAACGCTCCTTATAACTTCAGTGTGAATGCGCTTATTTAGTTTAGTTAGCAAGCTTCAGGCCACAAGCCTGTCTTGACTGACTGATTACATTTGAGATGATGGGAAACTTCACCAAACTCTCACTTTAGACGTTTCATAAAACTTCAGGTAATTTTTAGGTGAACTATTTATACCACCTACACGGAAAAGCAGTATTAGAAGAAAAACAGCATGTACACTGCAAAAAATGGTATTTTGGCAGGTGAAAGTATCTTAAGTCTGGTCATTATATCTACTATTTCTCATTTTGAGATTGTTGCAAACTTATTATAAGACTATTCAACTAATTTCAACATTTTTTTACCTGTTTGAAGTAATTTTATTAAGTAAATTTATTTCACTATATCAGCAGATAATGTTTCTTATTTTAAGAAATATGCTTCAAACAAACAAAATTATCTGCCAGTAATATAGTAAGATAATTTTGCTTAATCCCTTAAATGGCCAGGATCCACTGGCAGGCCCACAGTTTTATTACACACTTCTATAACCTAAGAATAGTTCAACCAGTTTACACTGAAGTCCCTGTAGTTATAGTAATAAGCCTTGTATAACAATAAGCCTTAGAATGTAACAAGCCTGGGATTTTAAGGGGTTAATAAAATAAAACATCTAGAAATAAGTTAAACAATCCTATAATCCTACAACCATCTCAAAATGAGAAATATTAGACAGGTTGACCAGGTTTAAAATAATTTCACTTGTTAAGATATCATGTTTTGCAGCGTCACATCTGAGCAGCTGCACTCCCGCAGTGATTCAAACAGCTGGACTGGCCTGAGAAGGGCAGTGGAATGTGAGGCCGCTACAGTGGGCCTTTTACAGAAACCTATCCACAGACTCACCGTTTGGCAGGCAGTGTCGGCCGTTTCCGTAGAAGCCGGAGTGGCAGTGGCAGCAGTAGCCGGAGGGATAGTCGGTGCAGTAAGCGTTCTGACTGCAGTGCTGCCGAAAACGTTCGCACGTTTCTTTATTTTCTGTGGAGTAGTGGATCACTGGACAGAAATACAGACACAGAGATTAGAAAGAGGAAGAATACACAGACTTTAAACATGCAAATGCATAAAGTGAAATGAGTCTAGAGCCCTTGCAGAGCTGGAGAGGTTCTACAAATTAAGAGAGCACTGACAACATCTGCGATTTTAATCCAGTATGAATCTGCAGTGTGTAGTTTAACAGTCTGACGGTAATAATTGTGGAGTGATTTTAATCCAGTATGAATCTGCAGTGTGTGTAGTTTTACAGTCTGACAGTAATAATTGTGGAGTGATTTTAATCCAGTATGAATCTGCAGTGTGTAGTTTTACAGTCTGACAGTAATAATTGTGGAGTGATTTTAATCCAGTATGAATCTGCAGTGTGTAGTTTTACAGTCTGACAGTAATAATTGTGGAGCGATTTTAATCCAGTATGAATCTGCAGCGTGTGCAGTTTTATCTGACATTTATAAGGTGTAATATGAGACTGAATAAGACTTTGTAAGGACTCCCTGTAAATGCTATCCAAACACTGATATATGAAGACAGAGACCAAATGCAGCAGAAATAAAGTTAGAGCAGCAGACAGACAGAACATTTTTCATCCAGGGAGAAATAAGTGCTCCCTCCTGCTGCTTTAAAGAGGAGGTACTGGCCTCAGGTCAAATATGAGGCTCATACTGTACATCTGGACGTCTGTTTCACTGCAAATTTAGCAGGGGCCATGGCTGGGTTCTGCAGCCGACACTCATCTGTGTGAAGGACAGTAGGTCTTTAGCACAGCAAGGTGCAGATAAAAGCTGCTTTGACAGCTCAAACATGACGTCTGACTGGCTGAACGTTTGTTTCAATTACACGCCCTGATACAGCTTCAGTCAAACAGCTGAAGGCCACGAACACTGACACAAGAGCAGGTTATGCTGTCCTTGAGTGCAATAAAGATTGTTTTTTTTCTCTTCTTTGAGGCCTCTTTAAAAGAAGGAGGAAAGGAAGAGTGTTGGAGGAGGAGACTCAACAGATGTTACATCTAAGAGCATTTGGAATTTGGAGGATAAGAAACAGGCAAAATCAAGAAAGGAGTCCACGCAGGCATACCGTATGAAACGGTAATGACAACTATCAATACACTGATACATGTTTGAGGTATTTTCAAAAAAACATCTACGCCAATGTCCAGCACAGAGTTAACATTTGAACAGCTGCTCCAGTAAAAATATGTGTCTTTTTTATTTGCTAGAAGAAGTCTAGCCATTCACTAACGACAGCACACAGTGGGACATTCAGCAAAGTTAGCTAATGTCAGCTACTTTCATTGTCGAAACTACAGAAAGTAAAAGAGGCAGTGAGTTTGAGGAAAACACCTCAGAAAAAAGATGCCAACTGCCAAATATTTCACTATATTGACAGATAATGTTTTAAGAAATGTGCTTAAAACAAGCTAAATTATCTGCCAGTACAGTGAGACAATTTTTAATAAATTACTTAAAACAGGAAGAAATGTCTAGAAATAAGAAAAATAATCATATAATAAGTGCAGAACTGACCATTAGGGAAATGCATATAATAATTACTGATATCTATCAACATTGAGTGATGTATAGAAATACTGTTACTATGAAAAAATCTTAACATATACTAACACACCTAGATGATATTGCATAAAATCTCTATTGGCCCATTTCTTATGAATGTTCACCCAACTTCAGATGATGTTAAAACATAAAAATGATAAAAATGAAGTTATGAAGTTCTGACATGACAGCAGCAATGCACTGTGATGAGATTTCTGGGCATATCACTCAGCTCTAAGGTTAAGAACATTAGATTTGATTAGAGATTAGAGAGTCTCACCTCCGGAGTCAAAGTCCACGTCTTCCTCCACACTGACCACTTGGCCGTCAGGGTTGTGGGGGTACACCTCCAGAAGGGTATGCTCAGGCAGGGGGAGCTGTTGCTGGACCCTCTTCTCTGGACGTTCTGGACTGCTTTCTGGCGGGGGATATTCTCCAGGCCCAGTGACCGCTGGAGCAGCATCATGAGTCTTAGGATTAGATGTTAGCGTGACGTCCCCTCCATAATGCTGAGGGTGAGACGGATCTTGGCCTGGCTCAATGAACTCCGGAACTGAAGGATTCTGGAAGTCTGGATCCACGTTATATTCCTGCTCCTCATCAAAAGAATCATCCGTCTCAGTGTACTCGAGCTCAGGGTACTCCGGGGTGGTGGGGAACTCAATCACTTGCCTTCTAGGCAAAGCGGTGGGTAACTGGCCACTAACTGGTGCTGGAATAACGTTTTCAAAAGCGTACGAACTTCCAATATGGAACAGCCAAACTCCAGGAACATTGACGTTGCTCAGCCTGCAGGGGGACGGCAACAGATGAGTGAAATATGAATGTTAGGGTCAACAGCAACTATTATATTTGTTATGTGTATAAAAATGGTTCTATTAAAACGATACTTTGGCAGGAAAATAAATATCCTCTCTTACTCCAAATGCAACCAAGCAGCCAAGACACGTTCGGTGTCTGAAGCTTGCTACTTTCGTTTTGCACTGAAGCTACAAGGTTAACGTAGCTAACAAGTAATATAAAGTTATACCTCGCCAGTTAGCATGGTGGACAAAAGTACAGACAAAGTTCAGCCTGAAAGAAAAGATCTTGATAGCTACGCTAATGTACTTTAGTCCATGTTTATATAAGAGATTACTGAACATCTCCACATGGTTTGAGACGAGAGTGATGATTCAGCCATTAGAATCATGCTAATGAGTAGGGGTATAAGCTTATGTAACCTGTTGGCCACATTAGCCTCATACACTATAAACTTTAAACGATGAGTTTACTTAAACATGTTGGGAAGTTGAATGCCTCACTTCTTTCTAAGTCAATTAATTAATTTCAGATTAAGTCTACTAATTGATTTTAACTATTGACGTTAGCCTCTTAAAAAGGCAGGGCCTACTGGCAGTTTTATTACACACGTCTATAACTGAAGAACAGCTCAGCCAGTTTGCACTGAAGTGCCTGTAGTTACTATATAATAAGACTTAGTATGTAATAAGCCTGAGATTTTAAGGGATTAAACCCCATGTGTCAAACACAAGGTCTGTGGGCCAGATCAGGCCCTGAGACACAATCCTGTCAGGTCCCACAAAAGTATCTTAATTTTCTATTAATATCAGCTTGTTTCACAATGCGCTGCACTACATTCCCCAGCATGCATTGCAACCTAATGTGCGCTTTGACTCTCTTACCACAACAACAATCTTTGGGACAGCAGTTACACCTCAGTTCTACACAATTCTAGGCAATTCCACACCAGTCATATCACCAAATGCACGAGCTGCATTTCAGCTGCAACTCAACCAAGATGAACACCCAACACTGGCTTAGAAACTGAGCCCAAGTATTAATGAACTTGCAGTAAAGAAAGGATGCCAGGTGTCCAGATCAAACAAATCGGTAGGTTTAAAAGACTGAGCTCCTGAGGACATTTAATTTTTTTATATTTCAAGTATTCATGTAATATTTCAAGGTCTACTACAAATCCCTGTATTTTACTGTTGATGTTTATTATGTGGCGGCACGATGACACAGTGGGTAGCGCTGTCGCCTCACAGCAAGAATGGCCTGGGTTCGATTCCCGGCCGGGCGACCAGGGTCATTTCTGTGTGGAGCTTGCCTGTTCTCCCCGCGTCTGCGTGGGTTTCCTCCCACAGTCCAAAAACATGCAGTCTGGCCAATTGGACGTGCTAAAATTGCCCCTAGGTGTGAGTGTGTGTGTGATTGTGTATGTCTGTCTGTCTGTCTGCCCTGAGATGGACTGGCGACCTGTCCAGGGTGTATCCTGCCTTCTGCCCAATGACAGCTGGGATAGGCGTCAGCACCCCACCGCGACCCAGAAGGATAAGCGGTTTAGATGACGTATGTATATGTATGTATGTATGTTTATTATGTATTCTGAATAAACAATGGCCAGTTCAGGTTACAGCACAACATTAATTGAAAATAAAATAAAAACATAGTTGTTCTCTGGCCCACGGGTTTGTTGAGATTTTTTAATACGGCCCATTTAGTGGTTGAGTTTGACACCCCTGGGTTAGACTGTTCATTCTTCAGTCGTACTACTGTTCAAACAATTGGAATCAGTGATTTCATTCATTCATATAAAACCAATTTTTTTGAAGATACATGTATAAAATAATTCTACAATGACTTAATTTCTTACAAGTTTCAAGCAGTTTGTAGAAACCTAGAAAAATGCAGATATTTGTGATGATAAACAGAGCCATTAGTGACTTTATGATTATTTAGAAGTCTGTGCAGCCTTGAGAATGAACTTCTTTCTCCTTTTTTACCAAGTAACTTTATGTTGTTCCCAAAATACTTTTAACTGTGAACAAAGCGTTGGTTTAAATTTTGTTTATAACATTTCAGTCTACACTGTATGGGCTATTACTGAATAACAACGATTAATATGACAAGTGATTCTGAACATTTGAGCAGTAGTGTACATTTAAACATTCACGATCAAAAGCTAATATTCCTACTATTTACTACTAGTAATATATGTACTATTTAGTTACAATTCTGGTAACAATTTACTGTAGGGTGCTGTTCATAAGGCTACAAGACACCTACATAAGGTTGTCTTGACAGCTGACATAACCCTACATAAATGTTTATAAATGCTTATTCCAATAAGTGTCATCTGTCATAAAGACTACTTTAGCTAACTTTGATCAAAACTGGCAAATGTTACCTTCATAGCGAATTGTGCCTATTGGAATAAGCAATTATATACATTTGTGTAAGCTTATGTCAGCTGTCATGACACACGTATGTAGCTGTTATATAGCCTTATGAACAATACCCAACGGTATTTACCACAATTCGTTTCTGAAAACTTACAATTTTAAATAAAATCAATTAACAAGATTGTTAAAACATAAGAAATCTTGCTTAAAACTTTGTAGTAAAGTACTATTATTACTTAAAGTGTAGCTCCAATTGAAAACTAAAGAAACTATGAAGTCTTGGCTAATAAACTGCATTTGGGTCAGGGGACAACTGTGTGTCTGTTGCTTTGAATGATGTTATAGCATGTAATATGCTGTTATATTGTATGAAACACAGTGCTTACTGGTACAGGTTCTTGACGGACTGCTCGTTGGTGGTGATGCTGTAGTAAGGCCCTTCAGTGCGAGAGAAGAAGAAGTACGGGACTTCTCCCCTGGTGAAGCCCACTCGAGCGGTCAGCTCAATCTCCACATTGAAGGTTTCTTTAGGGCGAGTCCCGTAGAACTGCAGGCCGTCCTCCGGGTAGAGGAACAGGGCGTAGGTGTTCACCTCGTCGTAAGCCACCACCGCCTGGAACGTGTTAACCTGCAGGAAGGGTGAGGGAGATAGACATCAATTCATTATTCAAATTCAAAGCTGTTAGTGCCTTATCTCATCCTGAGGGAGGGTCAGCTTTTCTTTCTCAAGAACAAAAGCTCTCTTACAACTCCTGTTTATCAGTGTGTTTATCTCTGCTCTAATGAATAAGGCAAACAAAAACAAAATTCAATGAGCCCCATAGAGGTTACCCTGCCTTGTTTATCCACAGTTTATAAAACTGAGTTACTTTTAACCCCTGAGGGCGTATAAGACTTCACGCTCATGTTTACAGAACGTACACACTAGTTGAATTGTAGTTGTTGAATAATTTATAGTACTGAATAATTTATAGAAGACAGTGAAAAATGTATACTAACTATGGAATCATTTATCATTGCTACTGAATAATTCACAGCAGATACTAAATAATTCATAGTGGATACTGAATAATTTATGGCTGTTACTGTATAATTCATAGTATTTACTAAATAAATTATAGTTTATACTTAATAAGTCATAGTACATACTGAAAAAAATCATAATAGACACAGAATTATTCATAGTAGTAGTTGAATAATTTGAGCTGTTACTGAAAAGTCCACTCTAAAATTCATAGCGGATACTGAATAACTCATAGTCAATACTGAATAATTCATAGTAGATACTGAATAATTTATCATAGTTACTGAATAATTCATAGTATATACTGAATAATTCATGGTAGATACTGAATAATTCATATTAGTTACTGGATAATTCAAAGTGGATACTGAATGATTAATAGTAGATACTGAATAATTCATAGTGGATACTGAATAATTCATAGTATATACTGAATAATTCCTAGTAAACACTGAGTAATTCATAGTAGATACTGAATAATTTATAGTAGATACTGAATAATTCATAGTGGATACTGAATGATTAATAGTATATACTGAATAATTAATAGTGGATACTGAATTATTTATGGCTGTTACTGTATAATTCATAGTATTTACTAAATAAATTATAGTTTATACTTAATAAGTCATAGTAGATACTGAAAAAATTCATAATAGACACAGAATTATTCATAGTAGTAGTTGAATAATTTGAGCTGTTACTGAAAAGTCCACACTAAAATTCATAGTAGATACTGAATAATTCATAGTAGATACTGAATGATTCATCATAGTTACTGAATAATTCATAGTATATACTAAATAATTAATAGTAGATACTGAATAATTCATATTAGTTACTGAATAATTTAAAGTGGATACTGAATAATTAATTAAAGATACTGAAAAATTCACAGTACATACTAAATACTTCCTAGAAGATACTGAATAATTCATAGTAGATACTGAATGATTAATAGTATATACTGAATAATTCATAGTGGATACTTAATAATTCATAGTATATACTTAATAATTCCTAGTAAATACTGAATAATTCATATTAGATACTGAATAATTAATAATAGGTACTGAATAATTCATAATAGATACTGAATAATTTATAGTACATACTGAATAATTCCTAGCAGTTACTGAATAATCCCTGTGACTTAATAATAAGCCTGCCTTTTAAGGGGTAACTTCATAAATCTGATCCAGTTCTAAAATCTGAAAAATGACTTGATATATGCACACGTGACATGATATTAAGCATTTACAGTATTGTGTGTTTACTATAATCCCAGAAAATTACACAGTTCCTTGGAAATCTCATTACCACCACATATCAGAGCTCAACCCAAATTTGGTGTTTCCCACAAGCTCACAGTTGTTTCTTTGATTTTATAGGGTCTGGTAACCCACCAACTGTGCCACCCCCCCAACTGTAAACACCATTCTTCTCCCTCCTCTCAGCTGGTTTCACACCCCATTAAAAGGCTCCCCCCTGAGACCACCAAAGCTACTATGTGAGGAGCTGTAAATGTGTCTGTCCTCTCGTCTTCAGTTTGTTATAATACAGTCTGAGTGTCATTGCCCAGATCGTGTCATTAAATCCTGGGAACACTGAGATCAGAGAGAAGCCCATCCTGAGTCAAGGCCGCAGACGGACGGACCTGACCACCCACTGTCTCTACCTCCAGAGCAATGGACTTCTCAGAGCTCCCTGCTGAAAAGTCCAGCTAAGAAAGCTTCTGTTGGTAGCTGGTTTCAGATGGTCCAAGAGGGTCTTTGATGGTCATCAGCCAGATAGTAGTTGCTGGTCTAATATGGTCAAGGTGGTTGATCAGCAGGACATGCAACTGTACTAGACAAAAATATACCCTACGCTACATTTGGGGGTGTGGGGGTTGGGGGGGTTTTACCACTTAACCACTGCATATGCTCATCAACTGGTCATGCGGGTCACCCAGCTTGATCAAGCTGTTCATGCTGGAAAACCATCTAAACCATCAAACTCAAACGAAAACAAACTGATCCGGCCAAGCTGTTTTCTTTAGCAGTGCTGTTTGAAAAGGGATGTGCTCATTTGAATATATGAATATTCAAACTCATCTCAGTATTCATTTATTTAACTGGGTATTTAAATAAGTCAATATGTACTGTGGAATAAAAAAGTGCTATATGCTATATGCAATAGTGTGACTGTGCGGTGTAGAACTGCAAAGACGGGGAGGGGGGTTGTGGTGTGATGCCACTCAGACCCGCCCCTTCCTTTGGATTAATATGACATCACGCAAGATTTTTGTTCCATCCATATGTTTATGATTTACACACCACAGGAGTCAAACAGACAATTTAAGATCAGGCACACCTACAGAAGGCAAGGTCGTATAGAATCAAGCGCACTTTCACTTTTCATTGGTAAAGTATGGATACAGTGCACACACCAGCCAGCAGGGTTGCCATGTTCACAGTTTTCCCACCAAACTGGGCTAGTTTGAAAACTACTGTCATGGGAGAAAATAATAATAATAATAATATTGTTTTATATGAGGTCCACTTATGATGTTTGTGTGGTTTTCTGTATTAAAATAGTCATAATTTCATTTTACATGATCATTTTCCAACCTCTCTTTATCTCTTACTATTAAACAGGCTGTTTTTTATCATTTTGCATTTACGACTGAGGTATGCAAATGATCTTTGTTCTGATTGGCTGTCCTATATTGTGCCTTATTCAAAAACAACAATTTAAAACTGGCAGTTTTTACAGCTTAGTTTCTATATATGGACTGCATGGACTAAGCAAGAACAGTTCATTTTGAAACTTTAGAAATGTTTACATACTTTTTTCAAACTTTTATTTTAAAGTGTGGAAAATTTGGGTTTCCATAACAAGGGCCCATTTAAGTAAACTTGGCAGACCTGGCAACCCTGCCAACAGTAGGCATCACTAAAAATACAGCAAGATCTGCCAACAGTCTTTAAAGAGAAAAACAGGTATGACATATATTTACACTGCTGTGTCTGATCCGCTCGTACCAGCGCAACACACACTAACACACCACCACCACGTCAGTGTTACTGCAGTGCTGAGAATGATCCACCACCCGTACCTGCTCTGTGAGGGTCCATGGGGGTCCTGACCACTGAAGAACAGGGTAAATGGGGGCTAACAAAGTATCAGAGAAACAGATGGACTACAGTCTGTAACTGTAGAACTACAAAGTGCACCTATATAGTAAGTGGAGCTGATCCGGCCAAGCGATCTCAGCTTATTTGAATATATGAATATTCAAACTCAACTCAGAAGTCTTTTATTTAACTGGATATTTGAATAAGTCAATATGTACTGTGGAATAAAGAAGTGAACTAAACTATCTTGCAGTGTTTAAATACGCGACTGATGGACTGACTGGTGTAGAACCGCAAAGAATGAGGCGACAAAAGCAACTAACATTTTGTTTCACGCTAAGCCAACTGGACTAAACAGAGATGTATATGGATTAAAATGAATATGGATGCAAATAAATTCAATGAATTCAAAATGGGCTGTTTCTGCAGATTCATTTTTTGTGTACTGAATGGACTGTGTCTGTAATATTTTTGAAACATTTCTGTAAAAATAAAAGAACATATGCCCTTTAATTATTCATTTTCATTGAAGTATTTTAGAAGCGTTAAACTAAATACGGAATATCTTGTACAAGCTTCAGATGTTTAATCTAGAACGGCCAAAGAATGTTCAAGTGTATCAAGTAAAGTCAAATACCTTTCTGGTTGCACACACACACACACCCCACCCCCACCCCACACACACACACACTCAAACAGGGTCTGTGTGAAATCTCCTCCCTCTTCCGTAATCCAAGCTGCTCTCCCCTTGTGGTGCTATCACCTCCATCACCACCATCAAAAAACACAAAACAACACCCCCCCCACCCCCACCCCCCAAAGACACAACACTGCATCTGGCTTCAAGAGCCCCCCCAAGCTACCTACTTCCACCCCCCCCCCACCAAACCCCCCCCCATCACTCCACCTCCACCACCCCGAGCCTCAATCTCTTAATTACAAGACCACACTGCCTCCGAGCGCTGCAGGAACACACCCATAAACAAGATTGTTTAAAGATGTTATTGTAAATAATTAGGCTCCCACTTATGGCACGGCTGAGACGGGGGCCAGGCTGCATGTACCCGGAGTCCAGGGTGGCTAGCAGAGGGCACGGGGCCGTGATCGGATGACAGAAGACAGGCCAGGCTTGATCAGGCCGTCCACTGCTTATTTGTTCAGGGGATAACACCTCCATGCGGCTTCCCTCCTTCCACCTCCACATCAAACAGCTCACAGACAGACATCTTAAGAACTGCAGACTCCCACCGAGATAAAACTATTGGGCTTCAGTCCCAAAGGGAAAAATAATAAGGGACCAAAAATCCCAAATCCCCCCAGATTAACCCCATCTTCATCACAACACTGGTGATGGTGAGTTTCAAGAAATGTTTCCATGCAACTTGACAACAAAATTCAAAAATAACACTTTTATCATGATTACATCAAGGTAAAAAAAATGAATAACCTAGTTATATAGTTCATGACACAGTAGGCTAGCAGAAC